TCTTCTAGTTGTCCACGATGATAGAGCGTCAACCCAAGATTGTGCATTGCCCGCATCGTATCGGGATCTTGTAGCCCGAGGATTGAAGTTCGGACTTCCAAGACCTGTCGCTGGATCTTCTCAGTCTCTTCTAATTGACCACGACCATAGAGTGTCAACCCGAGGTTGTACATTGCATCGACCGTTTCAGGATGCTTTGGTCCTAGGATCGAAGTTCGCAGTTCCACGACCTGTCGGTGAAGCTTCTCGGCTTCTTCTACTTGGCAGCGATGATAGAGTGTCAACCCGAGGGTGTGCATTGCATTGGCCGTATCGCGATGCTTTGGTCTGGGGATTGAAGTTCGAACTTCCAAGGCCTGTCGCTGAGTGTTCCCGGCCTCTTCTAGTTGACCAAAGGTTTGGAGTTTGAATGCGAGGTCTTCCATGTCACCGGTCTCGCCTTTTTTCGGTCGCATCTCTTCATTATGTGTAACATTGATCGACTGAACGCAATCTCTGAGGTGTGTAACCAAAGAAATATAGGTCGAGTCCGAATTTGATAGAAATTTGACGATATCAGTGTGGTTCGCCTGAACTGGAATTCGAACCTCATGTCGCAAGTGCATAAAAGCTGCAGATGAAGCGACAGATTGAACTTCTTCTCCAGATCTTTCATATCGCCCAGTTTGGGAGGACTGTATTGGGATTAGCGAATAGTTCCTCTTAAAACGATATCCATACCTTCTTCACCACTCGAGATTTGAGTAGTTCATAAAAGCTCACTACCTTCATTTTGTCGAGAATATCTGCAATATCGTCTGATTGCGATTCCAAAAACTCGGAACCAGCACGCAGTTTTCGCAACAGGTCGATTGTATCGTCTGGATCTGAGATCAAGTCGTTTGCCATTTCTTCTAGTTCCTCTGTTCGTAAACCTTGATGTGGAGTACCAAAGAAGAAGACGCCTTTAGTTGCATCGAGAAGACTTTTTTGATTTGATCGAGGCTTTCGCGATTCGAGTAAAGTCTGGCGACATGAATCAATGTTTCATCCTCTCCAATTATTGCAGGTGAAGCTACCTGGATAATTAGGATACCACCCAGAGAGTGGCCAATGAAGATAATGGGACGAGATTGTGCCTGCAGAGTAGAAGTGAGATAATGTCTTTAGAAGAATCGCAACTAACCATACCGATTTGGAAGACCTTGCAATGTACAGTCGATCCACAAAAAAACGAGCATAGTCCAACATGCGGCTCATTCCTTTGTTGGCCTCTATTCTACTACCATATCCAAACGTCATGATTCGGACTCCGGGAAGATCTCTGGGGAGGAAATCTTGGAGCCACATTCGCTGACTTTGACGATTCTTCCAGGATCCGTACGGGTGCCCAGCGAGTCCAGTAACAGCAACGATGCTATAAAAATCATAAGGACCAGCAATTGATGCAGAATTTGAACTTACTCAGCGAGGATCTCCTTTGGTGGAGTATTGAGGGGCGTCAAGCCGTTGAAGTCGCAATCGATCGAGAAATCTTGACCTTGCACAGAGGCGAAGAACGGTTTGTAAGGTACAACTTGTTGAAAATATTCTGTGCACTGGGATAAGTTCAACGTGCAAACTTGTCCGGATCCGTGACAAGCTGGATAAAGCGAGAGTTTGAAGTCATTGCCGCGGAGGTTGGGATCAAGTGTCTTCAAACACCAACGGAGATCGTCTTCGCTCCAGGAATCTGGAATACCGGATATCCTAAGACATTTTGGTTTTGATGCGGCATCGTTTGTGGCTACAGGAATCGTATGGCTTTCGGACATCGTCACCAGAACCTGGCCCACCCCCGCACGGTAAGCGTAGAGTGTAGTCAAGATCTCGCGGAAAATACAAACAAATTTTGGGTTCTTTATATTCTACAATGGTATATTTGACAGGTCTCAAACCGGCACTGCAAACACGAGGAGAAGGGCAACTGGAATTCAGTTAGCCCACCGCTTGATCGATAGAGACTGGCTAAAGTCTGTCTTGGAGAGAATAAGAAATTAGATCGAGAAAGAGTACCAAACAAATGATTCGGGTTATAATCACAGTGCCTGTAAACTGCCTAATACTCCAGAAAGACTGCGCTGGCCCTGCGGTGTGTATATGTGATCAAGTCCTCCAAGCCTTGCTGTCATATATTCGACTAAACCTAATTCCTGAGCCCACGTCCAGTCTTGAACAGTATCTTTTGTCCACTCAAAGCTGCTATTAGTCTTACTGTTTTCTGGCTTCTGGTCCTACTTGCGCTCGAACTAGAAAGTTTTTCAGTTCTCCTACTTTGGACAGCACCACTTTATATTCCAAAAGGGGTGATTCTAACGAGCATATGCAATGTAGTTGCACTCTATGAGCAAATATAATCATC